TGTAGCGTTCATCTTCATTTATGACATACTGGACAACACTCCTCACGAGGCATAGTGTCTGGGGAATGGCAAACGTATTTCGTTTCTGCACAGCAGCCCCCTAAAGATTTTCATGGTGTGTCACTCATAATAACTGAATATTGCCCATGATTTGACTTAATATATTTCAAAAGCATAACACAATATTGCAAAGTTCCCAAGGGGCTACTACTTTGCAAGTGCGACTACTTTCCAGACAATATTTTTGGAGATGTTTGGAAGTTACAGCATTAGCTTTTGCTTCTGTCACATTTTGCGACGATCTTGACAAAACATGATTAATCTTTCCATGATCTAGTCTGCAAAATTCTGAAAATAAAGGATTTGGAGTTGAACTGCAAACTTTTGTCCCAAATATCGTCAAGTATTCATGAGCTCTCCAAGCTGGCACTTAAAGGTCAAAGTCATCTGTCTCTGCCACTTTTAAAGCGGATGTACCTTACAATGTACCCTGGTCCTTAACCCTGAAGAGAAAGTATATTACTTAGTTTGCATTTTTCCTAAAGTCATATCCAGACCTAAACTTTGTGTCACAAAAGGATATCGACTATTCTGTCAGTAAATTAAGAGTTTCTACTTTCTAGCAATTGGTATTTTGTTCTTTTTGACTGAAATGGTCTCTGAGATTATCTTTTTTTTTACAAACCTTTATGTTGTTTTATATTAACTGCAGGCAAATGCTATAATAAATTAATAATTATATATTACATGCATTAACTGCAGGCAAAAATTGATGGGGACAGAGGTCTGTGGAATGACAAAACCAAGACATAACAGAACACTGAGTCTCCTTCATTTCTCTCACACTTACGTATACACACTACCACGGGCATGAAAGAGGACATTGATTTGGTGCTGGTGCACCGTGACCCTGTGATTACCACAGGCACCCCACTGTAGATAGACCTCCTGCCTCATGTATCACTACAACTGCACCTCAGGCCTGGGGAAAAACCTTGTGTTTCCAGTTCCCCAACCCAAAAATCTGTTAATACTAATTATAAGTTAAACCTTTTTGGTGGGTTGACTGCTGGCAAAAGGCATAAAAGTTTTGATCTGACATCTAAGTGACAAAAATGTTCTAGAATCTTTTTCTAGATTCTAATTGCAAGACAAGATGATTCAGAAATAAATGTGGTAAACAATAAAATGATCATAAATATTGCTACTAATGCTACATGTACTTCTAATATAATGGGTTCAATTTTTTCTGTGTGCAGAGGAGTTTAGTAATTATACTTGTACATTGTATAATATTATCAGTAATATACATAATTTGACATTGAAAATATCAGTGTCTTCAAACATTTCTTTTTTTGTTGGATCACATCTGCTGAAAAAAAGAGAGAATCCCTACCTACCAACGCTACTTTTTTCAGGGCCGTAATGGGAACACAGCGCTAATTTTCCTAGGCCTCAACCCCCTGGGAAACTAGAGATTGTATCATTCACAATGCAGCCATCCTACCATCTATCTGATGACCTCACGCCCTCCCCAATGGCTAAGCTTTCATCTTCTCTTACTTAGACCCCTTAGAGTCCCTCCACTGCATCACCCCAGGAGCACTAAGCATTGGCAAAAGAGCTTAGCCTGAGGGAACGCATTGACTATCGCTGCCCAAAACTTTGATGCCCCTTTCCTGCTACATTTGTCAACTCTTCTTTCCGGCTGTCGGATTTGCCGTGGAATACAAATTGATCAATGAACATCAAGTTCTAACACTCCATTACGGTTACCCGTGAAAGAGTAGTGAAGACGTGTAAATCTTATTGATGGGAGAAGTAATTTTTGTAATGGTGCTTGTGTTGGTGTCTTCTCAGGCACTGTTACTGAAAAATGTGTTTACTTATGTCTTAATTTTTCACTGATACTGAGTAATTCTATATAATTACTGTTGTAAGAAAATGTTTCTTGTGTCTTGCCATTCAAAGCATGGACAGCACAAACCCTGTTCAAAAAACAATAATCTTAATCAAAATAAAACAATAAAGACTTAGACTTAATAGTAGTCCATTCCACTCTGTGCAGAGAGTAGGGGTGGTGCTCATCTCCATTTCTGTAGCCTTTGGCCCACACAGTTGTGCAAGCACTACAGCAGGGGGCTAGCCCACTAGTAGTGCTGTGTGTTTGACCTTCCCATATTCTCTCTCATAGATGCTGATGATGAGTGCTAAGCAGAGAAATCATCATGTGCCATTTTTTAAGTCTTTGGTATGGCCCAGCCGAGGTTCAAACCCATGACATCCCGGTTACAAAGCCAGAATTCTACCTGATTGAGCTATTAATAATAGTCCTGTTTAGAAAAATAATCCTGTTTTAGTACATATCATAAAATGACGATGAATGTATATGGCTATATGGTTCTCATTCCACTAGACAACAGTCACTGAGCAACCATTATAAGCAACCAAAATTAGATTTCATTACAGGACTATGATGCACAATGTAAAAGCATAATTCAAAAGATAACAAAACACAAATGTTCATAAAAATGCATTGCTTGTCTGTGAAATTTGTTAAGGAATCTGTCAAATATATGCCCTTGCTCAGTGGTAGCAGCCTCTACATGTAGTGTGAAAATTAAGGGGTATAAGCCAAGAAACTGCTCCAGCCTGGCCCTGGGAGTACAGTTGGGAGAACTCTATAAGAATATGTATTAAAGAATGGCCAGAGTTCTGCCACGCATTCAGATGCCTTCTGATCACATCAATCTAAAGCCAGAAGCCGTGCACACATCTGACCAGCCTGACATGATTAAACTCTGGTCCTTCAGGCTCCAACACGCAGCCAAGATTCTCCTGTGGATGTAGCTGTAGCTCAGGCCAAAGCAATGCCATTTCTAAGGCCACATGAACTGAATGTAGAAATTGGAACATTTCATAAAATTACTGCTTTGTTTAACTTCTTACTCAAGCACATTCATAATATACAATGTATAGTGACCAGCCCTTGAACTCTGTCCTGCAACTTGCTACATAATGTAACCCAACATAGCTGGGAGTCTGCTATAGCACCTGTTACATTGTACCATGGTGACAGCCATCCGGTTCAGATCATTGACTTTATTTTTTGGACAAGAAGATACAGAGCAAAAACAATTATGTTATCCTTCTGTGAATGTAAATTTTATGATAATTGGTAACTGAGCGTGGATGCTCCAGAAAAGAGGGTCTTGTAATAACTATGACACTATACATTGTAATGTAAAATTGGATTGAACTGTAGCTGTTTTAGTGTCCCTTATATGACTGTAGGCTGTACCCAGATGGTATGCAGCCCAGGTTTGACTGTACATCCTGTAAAAAAGACAACTAAGTAACCAAAGAAAACACAGATTGCATTTTACATGCACACAGTCATGTCTCTCTCTGCTCCAGAGTACCAGAGTCATTGACCAGGGCAGTGCACAGGAAACGAAGTCAGTCCTGGCAGCATCTGTACATGACCTCCGGTAATGGGAGACATGGCACACATAAAATGCCTCACTTCCCCGTCTGCTACTGCCGCGGTCTACTGTACCGCACACTAGCCGGCTGCTGTGGAATCTATAATCTGATCGCTGTACTGGTGGTGGAATCACGATGGGCACTCTGCCAGTGAAGTAGGGAAGACAATTATCCACGAGAGTCTGTAAGCCTTTTTCCATGAGGCGTAGCTAGCCATTTTTATTCACCGTTAATCGTAGCCACATGCTTTAATTCAGCATTTATATGAGCACCAAAACATGAGCATTTTGGAGTTTATTCAGAACTATTTCTCTTTTTTTTTTTTGGCAAATCAGAACAAAATAAATCTGAAAACCAATCGCTAACATTGGTGTGGCCTTATTACTGCTATTGATATTTTGACAGTTTGCCCTTAACTAAGACAGGGCTTGAAATACTGTTTGCATGTGCACCTTAGTGTACCCAAAATATTTTCATAGGTTTATGTATGTAAAGATGTTAAATATCCAGTGGTATACAGCATATTCATGACACCTTAGTGTCAGAAAAATGATAAAATCATTGTTATAGTGCTTTTCTTCAGAAATGAAACATAATTAGTTGTTGCTGACATTCTACTTAATATAATATTTTATGTTATAGTGTGCACCCAAAAAATTTTTGTGCACCCAGTTTTTTAGCTTGGGTGCACCAGTGCACCTATTCCCAAAAATAAATTTCAAGCCCTGTAAGACAAGACTAACATTTATTTGCTGGAGATTTTCTTCACAGGTCACAAAGTTCACAGTTCTTCAATTTTTCCCCATTATCCTTTCAACAGGAAGTCAGAGCAAACATTGACTTAGTATATATATAATACATGTACATGTATACCACTCAGGGTTTATATTTCAAGGCTAATAATACTTCTCAATATCCTGCATTCCCGATTCATCTCTGGCTACCAAAATGGTCGTGACCTTGACACGGAACAGCAGAGGTCAAGTTGACCATCTCTATCACTACGCACTGGATCTAGTCTTGACTGCAATCGAGTCAATAACTTCAAATTACAGTACCTGCAGTAATACGTTAGCTTGACCCTGGTGTTGAGGTTCGTGTTAAGTCTGCGTCTGTCAGGATTACAGCTACACATTTTCAACCAACAGTCAAGTTTGACCTGAAGTTTGCAGTGAGTAACACCAGTGTACTTTCATGAAAGTTCATCTGTGTTGGTAACGTTAGTTACATGATTGTTTAAAGTTAAAAGTTTTGGTCCAACACAAAAAGTCTACTGAGGAAGACCAGAGTGACTGGTCGAAAGCTCTAGATTCATACAGAATATTGATGTATTCATTTACGCCTGAGTGAAGTTAGTAAAGTCATGTTAAGGGCCTTTCCCAAGGGCACAAGATCGGTGACACTGGGCAGGATTCAAACCCGGGACCTCTTGGGCCTGGGCCGAACACGCTACCGCTACCCCACACGACCTCACTTACAGATTAGATTACAGAGTACTAGTGTACATGACTTACCCTGGGTCTCCACACGTGTGACCTGGGCCTGATGAGTTTGAGTGCTGACGTGTACTCTGCCTGTATACGCCGTGCGGCAGGCAGCAGGTCTCCGTCAGCCTTGTTCACAATAACCAAGTCTGCCACCTCCACAATGCCTTTCTTCAGACCCTGCAGATAAGAATATGCAAGACAGAAGTTACAAGTATGTGTACCTACTAGGCCATACCTATTTATTTTCTTGGTTCTTCTTGATCAAGTCGCTAGCTCCTGTGCAGATTTCTACTGGGGCAGCATTTGTTTCTATGAGCAGGTAGAGTGTAGAGTTTTTTTTAGGGGGAGGGGCTGTATTGCCCGCATATCTCCCTTTGCAGCATAACTCCTACTGCTGCATTAGAGAACCTTAGCCCGTGTTTAAAAAATTGCACAGCAGTGCTCCCCCCTAAAAATGAACACTACCACTCCAAGAGGACAGGGAAGGCTAAGCTAGAGAACATCACAAGATTAGAGGAAAACTTGAAAACTGTAGTCACTCCCTGAAAGATCAAAGTCTCAGACTCAGTTTTCAGATTGATCTAGGACACCATTTTGACCTCCAATTGGACCTTTTTGTCAGTCTGTGGTTACACTATTTCCCCCCTCACTTCCTTACTGACTACTGACACATACATGTAAACAAACAAACTGACAAACACACGGAAAACAAAGGAAATGTTGTTGTTTACCTGTAGTTCGTCCCCACCTGCTGGAGGGACCAACAGCACAAACATGTCCACCATGTCAGCAACTACAAACTCTGACTGTCCAACACCTGCAAACACACACACACACATCATAAATATCTCACCGTACATATTTACAACAATGACATCCAGGAAAATTTGTAAAGGGCTTATACCGGGGGTAGCATTGAAAAAAATGCTGGGCCCCATCAGAAATCAGTTCCTACGAGCTGAAGGGGTTACCCTACTGTTTTATGATGAAATAAATAAATAATTTGAGCAATTTTGTAGCAAGATGACATGTAGGAAAATTTCATGAAAATACATGTACGTACCTACTGTTTCCACCAGTATGACATCATACCCCGCCCCCTCACACAGAACGATGGCCTCGTTGGTTCTCCTGTTGACCCCGCCCAGCGTGCCGGAGGTCGGCGAAGGTCGGATGTACGCGTTCATGTCTCGTGACAACTCTGGCATCCTGGTCTTGTCACCCAATAAGGAACCTGTAAGGAATGGTGTCTTTTATTAGATATGAAAAATTTACCTGCAGTACCATAACAAGCCACCAGAGGGCCCAAAATCTCATCATTTTGAGGTCTCATCAAGACCTACCCACCTACCAAGTTTCGTGACAATCCATCCAAAGCTTCTTGAGTTATCGTGCTAAACCACATACATAATACATTGTACGTACAAGGCAAACATAGACACAAATGTTACCAAAACTATAACCTTCTTGGCGAAGGTAAAAAAAACACAACTTCTTGATAAGACGTCATCCTGATTCAGTCAGGTTGTATTGACGCACACTGAGGATGACCTCTAACCCCACCCTTCAGCAGAAAAAGGGAAAACCAAATTGGCTTCGACCTTCAGGGGGCTTCTCTGTTGGCCCAAGGTCAAACATATTCATTTATACATCTCAGGTAAATGGGATAGACTCGGAAACTGTCTACCAAGACTTCCAACGCTATCAGAGCGTCATACAAACGTGTACAACTCATGTCAAAACAGTACTTCAAGTACCGCTGCAACTTAAAACTTCGAGCAGACACCCATCAACTTGCTCTCAAAAAGTTTTATTACAAAGAGCCATAACTTTTTCATGATGTACCATCTGGTTGTTTATGGTATGAATGTGGTAGAACAGCTTGCAAAAGGTAAAATGTGCAAAGATTTGATGGTGTGTTAAAATGGGAACAGCACTTAACAAGCAGAGGTACAGCAATCTGTAGTCTAACTGCACATTGGACAGTCTGGATTAATGGTGGGACCTTGGCATGGTGCCGAGACATTGCCCCTGTCATATATCACCACTAAAACAACCACTAGAGAGAATCCAACAACCCGCATTGCAATCACCCCAGGCACCTGGGTTCTGATTCTACTGACACATGAGGATTTAAAGGCATCCAAAGCAATTTCATTTTCAAAACTTGAAATACTCTGAACAAGGCAATCTGTAAAATTACGTTTTGTACAATGTAAAATCGGCATATACTGCCCCACTTACACACACACTGCCCACTTACACACACAGTACAGGTATGCAGAAAAGCGACTATTTCGAGTCCTGTATATGTAAGTACAATTGTACAGACAATTGATTTAAAAAGGCTATCTTTCCTAGACTTAATGTTAATGAAAAAATGTCAGTCAGATAGAAAAGGTTAGCAGTCAGGGATGGGTTCTGTCTGATGTAGACAAAGCCACATAAGCTCCAGGGATTAACTGTATCTGAGTAGACCCTTGTCAGCAATGCTTTTCTGGAAATGGAACAGACTTTTCTAGATCAATAATTCGACTCCATTTGTGTTCTGGCCAGCGTCTGTCTTTCTGTCATTTGACAGAATTTTGCCACTCATGATGGACAAGAATTTTACACAATGTGTCATCTTTCACAGACAAAAATTTGTGTGTAAAGACATGGAAATAAGCTTAGTCTACCAGCAAAACATTCTCCTCAAATGCAGGAAATAGCATTTGAAATTAAAAAATAGAATTCAAAATTTTCCTGGGGGAGCAAGCTCCCTTACTCCTTCTATGCTTGACGGGATGTTACGTCAAACAAAATTGAGATGATGGAAAAAAATTCAGCCTAAATAGTACACTGGAATGGACTTTTCTGGATCAATATTCAACTCCTTTCTGTTGTCAGTGAGCAGTCCAGAGAGTCAATGGAAAGTACGACTAGGAATTGGAAATAGAATTTGATATATCCACAAGAGTTACAGACTTAGTTATTCATTACTTGTAAGGCACGAGGACACCATGCATTGCTTCCCAAACATGCAGAAACTTCACATGATGTAAAGAACTGGATGAAATTCTGAAGTCTATGATTGCCACTGGCTTATTGAGCCACACGACCGTGTCCAAACAATAAGAGAACTGCTCGTGCTTGACTCAGATGTGTTACAGGCTGGAGGATACTTTGCCAATTAAATTTTAGGCTATATATATATGCTAGCTTTACTTTTCATACTAACTTGTATATCACTTACTTGGTATGCATAAGGTGTGTTTAACTTAACGGAGTGTTCTCAAAGTTAGGTAAGCCCTCCCCCAAATCATGCCCACTTGGCTTGCACCACTGTATCCAGCAGATGCTTTTAGGTATTAATGGCTATTACTAGTATCATTTAACTAAAGGCTGTTAGAAATATTGTCAAATGTTTATGTATGTAACATTACTTAATTTCAGGAAAGTAGTAACTTATAGGTGGGGCAACCTAAAATTCTGATGGGCAACCTAATTCTTGCCGTAGGTTGCCCACTGGGCAACCTGGTTCAAAAAAGTATTTTGTACACTGTACCTACCTCCAGTTGTGGAAGATGAGGGGTCTACAGCCAATACTGCCACCTTGTGTCCAGAGTCAGTCAGGAATTTCCCAAAAGCCTCAATAAACGTAGACTTCCCAGCACCCGGGGGGCCTGTCAAACCTGGAGACAAACAGCCAGCTTTAAAAACTTGACATGTTCAAAACTTTCTCTTTGTTACAAGGAATGAGCAATCCACTGCTTCTGTAACATCACTGCAACAACAATCCCTCAACAAAGACAGGGGGCGCCACAAACTTTCTGCAACCTACGATCCACTGCTCAATGAATCACATGTGTCATCTGCATAATGTGACATCACAGAAGCTGTGGATTGCTCATTTCTAGACAGTCTGGGGTTAGACAGTTAAAATTCGGGTAAGTCTATTTCTCTCATTTAGGAATTAACACGACTTTGGCAGAATGTTCAAAGCACTTTGGCAGAACAACTCATTTAAGGTCGTATTCGTGTATTTAGGGATGACATCCCACCTGTGCCATAGTTTTCAAGTGTGTGGCAGAAAGTACACGTAATACTATGTACGTCATCTGCAACAGGCAAAATTCTATTGCAACATTGATACAGAGATACACACAAAAAAAATGTAAAAAATCCAGGCTTCACACAGGCCCAGTTTATTCTGCCAACAAGCCTGTGGAATTATGTTAGTAAATGTTACCTATCCGGAAGGCGGAAGGTTTTTTCCATTTGACTCTCTTCTGTTGCAGGTGTTCCAAAACCAGCTGAAGTAATGCCTCGGCCGCCGCACGCTTTCTTCTGTGAACAGACTCCACCAGGGTAATAGACTCTGCCAGGCTGGCCCGATGTCCCTCTTTCAGACCTTGGAAAAGTCTCTGCACAGCTGGATGCTGGGAAAGATCTTCTTTGGGATCTTGTAGACATGGTGATACAACAAGTGCTTCAGCTGGTTGGGTGCAGTACTTGTTTCTCCCAACAGGAGGCACCTGTGAGTGGTGTGCCTTTTTGTGTGAGGTAGTTGTGCCGCCTGCCCCAACAATAGACTGACAATGATCGGTACTGAAGCATACTGCTTGTCTGTCTGCCCGTAAAATTTGATGTACTACTCTGGAATAAAGTTTGGGGAGCTTTCTACTGAACATGCAACGGATCATGGCTATATTTTTGTGTGTTCTTCGCTCGCTATAAATAAGATGTTGTCATTTATATTGCACTTTTGTATGTCCTAAAGCATACATGGCGTTATAACATGTGAGAGATGACGTTCATAGGTGACTAAACAACCGAATGATCGACTTGCAAAAGCTTGTTGACCTGTCAGCTGATCGCCCCGCCCCTAGAGCTCGCCCCTAGTGCCGCGGTTGCTCACGAGTTCCGACGAGCCACATGAAGAAATAAAGTCAAACGTCAAGAAAAAGAATGAGGTTTCAGATTAAGCTTGTCACGTTTAGCTTCTACACCGTCTGTATAGCGTCCGGACCAGTACGGGGAGTCAGAAACAAGAGAAAACTGCGATTTTAGACGTTCCGTCGTCTGTTTTTCATGGGCGCAGCCATTTTGAAAAACAGAGCATGATGGGAAATCTAGAACGCAACACTTTCAATGTGGGGGTGATGACATATTTACGTGTTCTTCAAATTTCCTATCACTGTGGACTCCCAAATATAGTTATGAGGCCAAATTATGATATTAAATTTATAGATTATAAATGAAATCTAATATATACCTTTCTTATATCATATTATGTCACATATGAGTATATCCACGCTTGAGAATGGACTGGTCTAGTGACGTCACGGGGGATGCCGGTAATTTTCCATGATGAGATCAATTGACACAACAGAAACTGCCCTCGACCAGTTCTTCCGCAGGCTTTAGCAGGAAAACCTCAACGATCATCGCCATCAAAAGCATCCCTGCTTCTCCTAGACTACCCAGCGGGCGTTTCTGAGGCTTGTGAACCGCTCAAGATCGGGATGGAACCCAGAATTTCTGGGTACGCAACAGCAGATCCACACTCGACCGTTATAAAATTTTCGACTCGCGATTTTCACCAGCTGATGCCCATGTTTTTGTTACGATCTACTATATCACATAAACGTTTGACCTTGTTGTAACCTCAAATTAGAAAACATGACCTCCTTGCTGCTCCTGAACAGGACTTTTTCTCGCTGCGTGCCAAGATTGTCGTACAGAACTCCCGTGTGCACGAGGGGCTTGTTTGTAAACAAATGGAGGACACCGAACAGTCCCAGGTACCACCTCTGGTCAAGAAATGGCAAAAACAAAGGAGAGACCGCCAACTACGGCCTACTTCCTGTAGGAGCGATATGTTTTTCTTACGGATTCACCATCTTCCCACTGTCACCTCCCAATATTTTATCCAACGTGCTGAGAAGATTTGGCAGATTCAAAGATCCAGTGTCCAGTACAGAAGACAAGATCACATATCCACCAAAGTCGAAAGTTGGCACCTATGTGAAGAAGAGGCGAAACTTCGTGCTGCAGTTTCTGCTCACGATTTGGAGATACTTCCGAGTCACACTGAGAGTGCTGTGGCTTTTGTATAGGTTTGGACCTCTGTTTTGCATCTATCCCTTGACGTACACGTCTCAAAGATTCACAAGTTTGTGGTGGAAACTCTTCCTGAATGCCATAGAAGCCGCAGGCCCCACTTTCATCAAGCTGGGACAATGGGCCAGCACGAGACGCGACCTCTTCACGGACGAGTTCTGTGACCGGTTCTCGAGGCTACACGTCCACGTCAAGCCACACTCCTGGTTCTTCACCAAGCGGCGACTCCAGCGGGCCTTCGGGAAGAACTGGAGGAAGATATTCGTGAAGTTTGAGAACATGAGGAAGCCGATTGGTTCGGGGTGTATCGCTCAGGTGTACAAGGCGTACATGAGACCAGAGATGATCAAAGATGAAGAACTCAGAGATGAAATCATGGAAGATCTCTTCCAGGTATATTCCTTTCTCAGCGAGAATTTCCTTTTATTTTTGCCACTGTTTCTTTGCTCAAGAGATTAGAAGTGTGTTAACTCAGTGCGCTAAAGTGTGCTAACGTGTACTAAAGGTAAAATTGTGCTTACTCAGTATGTGAAAGGTTAACGTGCTTAAACTCAGTCAGTCAGTGTGCTAAAGGTTAAAGTGTGCAAACTCTGCTAAAGGTTTAAGTGTGCTAACTCATTGCTATCAAAGGGTTAACATGCTGGCTCAGTGTGCTAAAGTGCTAACAAGTCACATGCTAAAGGTAAAAGTGTGTTGACTCAGTCTGCTAAAGGATAAAGTGTGCAAAATACTTGTGCTAAAGGTTAGGATAAGGAGCTTAATATCACCAAGAATTACAATGAAAAGATCCTTGTCCACAGGTGGAGGCTCCAGACTTTACGGAGGCCTGGGAGGTGACAGGGTTCGGAGACGTGCTGGGGAGTAAGGATAAGGAGCTGGATGATCTGGAGGAGGAGATAGAGAGGAGTAGGTTGGCACGGCAACACGTGCATGGTGTGCAGAGTGGGCCAACAGGTGTGCATGCCAGTCCTAATCATCATGCTTTTAATGCGCTTGTTGGCAGAACATAAGTTGCGTCTGTGTGAAACCTGTAATGTATCGTGCATAGCACTTCAGCAGAATGTTTTGTGTAAGGTCATATTCATGTATTGAAGGACGACATTCTGTCTGTAGTTTTCAAACTGTTAATGTTATGTCGGAAAAGATATTGTTTGCAACAGTCAAAACTCTGATGAAACGTTGACCAAACAGACGAAAACAGAAAAAAACAGGCACAGTTATGATGTTCTGCCGACGTGCTGAAAAAATGTAACAGCTATATTGATGCGAATGGCACCATTATTAACTATCAGCAATAGTTGACAGTGTAAAGTGTCAGTTTCTAACAGTCTGATATTTGAAACTTGTTTCTTGTTTTGCAACACTGTATAAAACTTCATGATTCATGAGTGTTTAATGATTACAAGTGACAATTTCAAAGCATACTGTTGTTGTACAGTAGGTGACTGTATTTGTCCTGGATTTTCATAACAATAGCATTTTGCCTTGCTTGTGTATACTGAAAGTGTATGCGTTCTGATTGATTCATCCTTTGTTTGTTTGTTTGTGTACAGATCCAGACAGTACTACAGAGAGTTCCCAGTTTCAGGACCAACCTTCCCCTGACACACAGATCCATGATGAGTTTGAGGGGCTGATTCCTGTTGCCATCAAGGTATACAATCCTGTCCTCCTATCCACATGACATCATTCACCATGGTAACAGACACCCTGTGGTGTTGGGTTACATTAAGTAGCAGGACAGAGTTGAAGGGGCTGGTCACGTGATTTATTTCATGTGAATAAGTACAAATAAACAGAGCAGTAGTTTGTTGGGCTAGACCATGTGAAGGTGAACGTTATTCAGTTGCTTTGCAAAGGTTACCTTTCTAGCTGTCTATACATTTATTTTACTGGTATACCAAATGAAGGACTACCAAGAAGAAGAGATATACCAAGTTGGACAACTACAAAAACATTTCAATTACATTTCAACTACAAAACTACTTGTATACCAAATGAAGGACTACCAAGAAGAAGAAAGAAGAAGAGGTATACCAAGTTGGACAACTACAAAAACATTTCAATTACGTATGAGTGTTCCATCTTCATCTTTGTTTTCCCCGCTCTGCCAGGTTCTGCACCCCGGCCTGTACCGTACGGTGAAGCGTGACCTGTCCATCATGTCTGGTGTGGCCTGGCTGCTAGAGTGGGTCCCTGGGCTGAAGTGGCTCAGTCTGTCTGAGATCGTTAACGAGTTTGGAGACCTTATTATGAGTCAGGTAATAAGCTTTTTTTATGGCTTCATCATTGTGTTTCCCTCATGTTTTTTTCAATGTCTTCTGTAGTTTGAGTGTACTGTATAAGCATTGAAATTTGCCTTATACAGTATGGTAGAATTAAAATGTGCAGGCCAATGACCTGGACCAGACGTCTGTCTGATCATGTCTACCTGCACATAACCTGTGACAGTTCATGTACTGGGTTCATTTATACCAGTACATGTCAATCTACATGTATGTGGTTTTTGATTGACTGTTACCACCTTTGACTTTACCAGGTAAAAGAAATAATAGCAATGCTTTCTGAACAGTATGACTTCCTAATTATAAGTATGAGTAGTGTAAGTATACGTATGCAGAAAAAAGTATTTCAAGCCCTGTTAATATTTTACCGCTTTTCAGATTGACCTACGACATGAGGCAGCCAACTTGGAGCGGTTTAAGGAAAGTTTTGCTGACATCGATGCCATCCGCTTCCCTAAACCCATCCGCCCCTACGTCAGGAGGGACATCCTCGTGGAAACATTCGAGGTACTAAAAGTTTTTCTCAGTTTTATTATTGCATGTTTCTCCTTCTGCTTGTCCAACCAAAAATGATCAATGACCTGGACCAGATGGCTGTCACCATGGTAGCTGGTGCTGTAGCAGACACTCTGTGGTGTTGAATTACATCATGTAGCAAGTTACAGGGCAGAGTTTGAAGGGCTGGTCACCATATGTATGAATGTGTATGAGAAAAAATAAAATGAGTAGTTTGTTGCATTAGTCCATGTGAAGGTAAACATTATGTATCTGTTTTGCTGCGTCAAAACTGCATATGACATGTGCACAGTCTAACCAAACAGGGTATAGGAATGACATATTGACTCTACCTTTCTTAGGAGGGGGAACCCATCACCAACTTCATGTCGGATGACAGCTCAGAATGTCTGAAGGCCAAACTTGCAGAGATGGGAATAGAGGCGCTGTTAAAGATGGTACGTCACTTGTCTTCTACATTATAAGATGGCATGGCGGTCTTTTGGTTAGGCTTGTTGATATAGAATCCAAAGGTTCTGGGTTTGAATCCCCAGCAGGCCCCAGTTTTGCACCCTTAGCATGGTAAAGGCATTTTTTATGGCTACTTGTTCCTCACTTGACTCAGGAGAAAATGAGAACCTAGCTTTGGAGAGGGATTGTTTTTTTTAGATGGGATTCAAACTCTTGGTTCAGACTCTGAAACAGGGTCGCTAACCACTAGACCATGCATGCCACAAACCTTTTACACATACAGCTTGACACACACACAAGTCTGAGCACTGTTGTCGTAGCATAACCAAATTTCTTCCATACCAGATATTTGTGGACAACTTTGTCCATGGGGACCTCCACCCAGGCAACATCCTGGTCATGAATGCCGAGAGCTATAACCCTGAGCAGTGTAACAAGATGATGCTGGTGGACATGTGTGATACGGTCATCGTGAACGTCAAGCCCGTGGAGAACCCCATCCGCCTGGTCCTGCTGGATGTGGGAATCATCGCAGAGCTGGAGGAACAGGACCGACTCAACTTCAGAGATGTGTTCACGGCTGTGGTACTGGGGGAGGTGGGACCAAAGTTGTTTGTTATGTTTACTTCTACATTCCCAGAAGCAAAACATATTGCTTTTGCTCTGTTTCTTCTTCCATTCCAAACCAAGAAGGTCAATGACCAGGACCAGTTGCCTGTTGTCCCTGGTGCTGTAGTAGACAACCTGAGGTGTTATATTACATTATGTAGCAAGTTGCAGGACAGAGTTAGGAAAGGCTGGTCACAATACACTACCTAAATTTCCTACAGAAAAAAATGATTTTTAATGATTTCATGTAGTACAAAAAGACTGTTATTTTGACAGGCGCATTTGAACATGAAGTTCACTACTTTGAGTAAAGTTATACATAATGCTTTTCCCCATACATTTTGTATGTCTGACATGCAGTTTTTTTCTGTCCACTAGGGGGAGCAGGTAGCAGAACTTATCCTGCACCATGCAAGAGCCAACGAGTGCAAAAACGTGGCTCAGTTCAAGAAAGAGATGGCAGATTTAGTGCAGACAGCAAGGGAGAACACTGTCACCCTAGGCCAGGTGTGTTTATAGTTTAGGCTGTGCCAGTTCAATTTGTCGGTTATCATCAATCAGACATTTTTTTGAACATTTTAGCAAGACATGTTAACAAGAAAGAAGGCTGGGAGGAAAATTTGCATCTGAGTTCTTGAATTCAATACCTGAAAATGGGGTCTGTATGCAATTTTTCCTTACACAAGAACAACTTAATTCACCATTAAACATTGCTGGCCTGCCTGAATTCACCATGAGCGTTGTCATGTTGTGTCTCACTGACATTTTATTGTCCTTCACCGAATAGATCCAAGTGGGAGAGTTACTGAACAAAGTCTTCTCACTGCTTATCAAGCACAAGGTAGGTATGAACACATGAATGTGTTTTGTTTTGTTTGTTTTTCCTAACTGGTAAACTGCCTCTAGGCACCGTAACACACCAGTTTTGTACAGTTAGTGTAAGACCATAATGTAAGTTTTGAACCACTCACACTGGGAAGGGCCCCTACTGTTTTTAATCTTAAATATGCTTGAGGTACATGTATGGCTGTCCTCAAACACGGGACCCATCCCAAACCAAAGCTTACGCACCAGAGTAGAGTGAGAAAATAGGTGTGAAGTGCCTTTCCCAAGGGCACAACACTGGGGCTTGCCAGGGATTCAAACCTTGAACCTTCTGATTCTGAGTCAACAACCCTAACCACAAGACCATATGAAAATTCATCAGTCATGTTCGTGTTTAATTTTTCCCCACAGGTGAAACTTGAGAGCAACTTTGCCAACATGGTTCTGGCT